TTCAGTCGTGTGCTCTTCAGATCACCCCCTGCAGGACTCGGGATGTTCCCTCCCCACAGGACACGGGATGGCCCCCCCACAGGACACGGGATGTTCCCTCCCCACAGGACACAGGATGGCCCCCCCACAGGACACAGGATGGCCCCCCCCACGGGACACAGGATGGCCCCCCCATGGGACATGGGACGGCCCCCCCAGGACACGGGACAGCCCTCCCCCACAGGACATGGGACGGCCCTCCCCCATGGGCCATAGGACATTCCCCCTCCACAGGACATGGGACACAGGATGGCCCCCCCATGGGACATGGGATGGTGCCCCCCAGGACGTGGGACAGCTCTCCCCCGTGGGACACAGGACGGCCCTCTCCATGGGACATGGGACGTCCCCCCCCCACAGGACATGGGACACAGAATGGCCGCCCCACGGGACACAGGACGGCCCCCCGCACGGGACATGGGACGGACCCCAGCACAGGGTGATCTAGTCCAGAAGGTCCCTAATGCGGGGGGTTGGGATCTGCTACAGACATACAGGCCCCGCCGTCTTGGTCCACAGATGAGCCGTGTCCTTGGAGCAGAGGGACGATTCGGCCCCTCCCGCCACACCCTCCGTCTCACTGGCTGTCTGGAGGGTGTTTCATCGAAACCCTGCTGTGCTGGTTACAAATCGGCTCCTCCAAACGCAGCTGGTAACTTCAGGTCAATAAACACAAACAAAACCACAAGTTGTATATCCATAACGATAAAAGTTTAAGGCAAAAAGAGAAAGACAAAAGGGGGACGTTTATAAAGATGAAATTTATAATTTCCCACGAATATATGGCCCTTCTAAATCCTTAAATACTAAGTAAAATAACATCCACATAACTCTTTTTTTAAGCTGCCAAACAGGATGAGGGGTTGACTAGAAAGTACGGCACATCATGTTTCACGAGACTGCACTTCTTTCTTTTTTTAATTTTCTGATGTTTATTCATTTTGAGAAAGAGAGTGGGGGGGGGCAGAGAGAGAGGAGACACACAGAGAGAGGGAGGAATCCGAAGCAGCTCCAGGCTCCGAGCTGTCAGCACAGAGCCCAACGTGGGGCTCAAACGCATGAACCGGGAGATCATGACCTGAGCCGAAGTCGGACGCTTAACCGACTGAGCCCCCAGGCGCCCCTGCAAACATGACTCTTCTATGCACTGGGAAACCAAAAGTTTATTTCAGTCACTTTATTGTGCGATTTGCTTCATGGTGGTGCCCTGGGGACCTCCCTCCACACCTCCACGTGTGCACGGCAGCGGAGATGTTACCTCAGGTCACGCTGGGTTTAGCAGACCTCCCTCCGTAGAACAGGTCTGGGTATTACGAATAATGAAATAAACTCTGCACCCTAACAACAGACATTCATTTCCTTTCAGGAACCTATGGAACTTTTATTTGAAAACATATTCATATTCACATGACAGCAAACCACAGAAATAGTGCTGCGTGTATTCCCGATCCAAAGCAATCAAACTACAAAGACCAAAACATAAATAAAAAACCTCGGTCTGCTTGGGTTTTCATCTTCTTCTTAAACAACCCTGTGTCACAAAGGAGACCAAACTGAAATTCTAATGCTGTGCTGCCCAATATCCTGGGCAGCTGAAACGTGGCTACCCTGCGCTGAGGCTGCTGCGGTTGTGAACACGCTAGATTTGCAAGACTTAAAATGAAAAAATAATGTAAACTGTCTCATGAGTATGTTTTTTTAATTGATTACATGTTTAAATGATAATATTTGGAGTATTTTGGGTTAAATAAAATATATCGTTAAAATTAAGTCTACCCACTTCTTCTTTTTACTTTTTAAATGTGGATACCGTACACTTAAAAATGACAGAGGTTGGGGTGCCTGGGTGGCTCAGTCGGTTAGGCGTCCAGATTCGGCTCAGGTCATGATCTCACGGTTTGTGGGTTCAAGCCCCGCATCGGGCTCTGTGCTGACAGCTCAGCCTGTTTCCAATTCTGTGTCTCCCTCTCTCTCTGACCCTCCCCTGCTCACGTTGTCTCTCTCTCTCTCAGAAATAAATAAAACATTAAAACAATTTTTTAAAAAATGACAGATGTTGGGGTGCTTGGGTGGCTCAGTCAGTTAAGTGTCTGACCCTTGATCTCAGCTCAGGTCTTGATCTCAGGGTCATGAGTTCAAACCCCGTGCTGGGCTCCAAGCTGGGTGTGGAGGCTACTTAAAAAAATGACAGATACTGTCCTGTTATATATTTACTGTTAGATCTGCTCTAGAATATGAATAGAGATAAAGCACAATGATACAGTAAACACTACATATCAAACCCTATAGAATGGGGCTAATGTAGTATTTGGAAGAAAGTTTATTAGCTGAAATATTTACACTTCTCAATACGGATGAGATGAAGTAAAATTAAACAGTTAATTCAAGAATTTAGAAGAATGTAATGAAACAAACCTAAGGAAGGCAGAGGGGAAACACTAATGAAGAGAAAAGCAGAAAATAAGTAGAAAAACAAAAACATAAAAATTGATATAAAGATTCAGGAACATAGACTCAATATTGGCTGAAAAAATTATTAAAACATGATAAACCGCCGCATAGCCTACTTCTTATTGAAATATTATTGGCACACAGTATGCTCGTCTAAGGCGCAGGACAGTCTATGCGGTGGCACTCAGCACTCAGCTCGGCAAGCGGGGTCACCGTCTGTCACCACAGGATGCTGGCACATGTCATTGGCTACGTCCCCTGTACTTTTCATCCCTGTGACTTGTCTATTGTTTTTTTTAACTTTAATTTTTAAATGTTTGTTTATTTTGGAGAGAGAGAGAGAGAGAGAGAGACAGAGCATGAGTGAGGGAGAGGCAGAGAGAGAGGGAGACAGAGAATCTGAAGCAGCTCCAGGCTCCAGGGAGTCAGCACAGAGCCCTACTTGGGGCTCGAACCCATGAACCGTGAGATCATGACCTGAGCTGAAGTCGGACGCTCAACCCACTGAGCCACCCAGGCGCCCCAAAGAATGACTTTAAGAAGTGAAAAGACTCCCTTGTTTTCCTTTGGAAGACTCTTTGGTGGGACACTGTCAGTCCCTGAGCCTCTAATTTCAGCGCGTTCCCCATCCAATTCCAACAGAACTCGGTTTGGAATAGGAGAGATTAAAACTAGATTTTGTCCGACAGAGTAAGCACAGCATTGGGATCAGATGAAGTTCTGACAAAGAATAAAGACTATGACCACGACACTGTCAGGTATTAAAACACTGGCTAAGGCCCAGACATTTAAAACAAGATACTTCTGGAGCAGGAGGAAGCGAGAGATCACGCAGGAGGGTGGGGAGTCCAGAAACGCACCAAGTTCACGTGGGAATCGAGCATTTGATTAAACGGCATCATTAAGTTTATCTGCAAGAATTGAATAAACCTTTGGGAAAACTGGTTAGTCCTTTGAAAGAAAAAAATTTGGACTTCTTACCTTATTCTTCACGAGCAAGTAAACTTTACACGGATCCGAGAGTTGCCCGTGAAACACGAGCCACAGAAGACAAACTAAAGGCATTGTTACAAATGACTGCACCACCGTGGGAACAGGTCCCAGCGCTTAGACCGAAATGAAGGTGGAGTCCGTCTGTCCGCCTTCCAGGAGAGGCCCCGTCAGGCGTGTGGTGAAGGCAGTGGGAGGCGGGTGTCCCCAGGGACCCGTGGCGTGGAGGGCCCCCCACCAGCCGAGTCCCGAACGCAGCTGGGGTCAGGGAGCGGCAGGTGGGACTCACGTCCCAGGACAGGCCGGCCCTGAAATGTCCTCGGTCCATCATCCTTTGGCAAGGCCACCTGCGGCAGAAGTGCACATGATCAAGCACCAGACCCCTAAACTTGGCAGGAGTTGTGCTCAAAAGACACCTAAAAGCAGACAAACAAGCTGTCGAGAAGGGCTGGAAACCAAGCTGTTCGAGAAGAGGCCGCGCACGAGTGCTCGGGACGCCAGGGTCTGCCGGGAAACGCGCAGCAGGCAGACCCGAGCGCGGGGACAGGATGTGGCCACTCCTTGGGCCCAGACCCGCCGAGGGGGGCCGGGGGCCGGGCAGAGGAGCCCCTGGGCTCGGGTACTGCAGGGCGGGGGGCCAGAGCCGGGCCAGCAGCGCTGTCATGAAGACACGACTTTCCACGGGGGGCAGGCCTGGCAAGGGGTTGTATGTGGGCGACAAACGGCCGTCATCCTTTCCTGCCTTCTTCCTACACTTCATTGGTAAGGAGGTGCTGGAGGGATGAAAAGGAGGTAGGGTTGGCCTTGCATGTGCGTGTTTCATGTGCGTGTGTGAGCAGCTGCGTGTGCACGCGTGCACGCATGCGCGTGTGTGTGTGTGAGCGCCTGAGATCTCAAACCTCATGGGATTTAGTGTTAGCAAATCATAATCCGGAACTCCAAACTTCTTACGGAGTCTAACAAAGGAGCACAGCTGGAGGAACAGATGGCTGCGGATGGGTTCTGGGGACGATGGGGGGCAGGGGAGGGAGGTCTTTCCACCTTGAATAAAAACCAATTTTAGAGCAAAGTAATAAAACCGCCACGTGCAGATGCGAAGAGAAGCCATCTACGGGTCACGCAGAAGACGATCAAGAAGGAGCTCGAAGAACGAGAGAGACGGATGTGCGGTGGGCCCGGCACCCGTGAGCCCAGCGGAGGGAAAGGTCACTCAGGTCAGAGTACCGAGGATTGAACTGGAAAGAGCAGTTAGGCTCATGTCTTATTCTACTCACCAAAGTTAAACCTTTAAGCGCGAGAAATCACAGAGAAACCAGCACGGTCGGAACCACGCGTCTTTGGAAGCAAGAACGGGGGGCGGGGCCGGCACCCGCTGAGTGTCCTGGGCCTTAAGGGCACGTCCCTGTGTGGTTATTGCTTACAATCCTGGGGGGCAGGCGTAATCCCCGGCCTTCAGGTAAGGAAAGCGAGGCATAGAGAAACCCGCGCACTTCCTCGAAGTCAGACGGGGAGCAAGCCACAGCACCCCACTCTGGCTGAGTCTGCACCCTGTGCTACTGACCACTGGCCCCCAGCCCCGGGCGCAGGGGAGGGGGACGCCCAGTTCAGAAGATGAAGCCTCGTGCCAGTCCGGTCCCGAGAGGGTGGGCGAGGAGCAAGTCAGAAGCACGGTTGGGTGCCGGTCCAGCAGCCCTGCGGTATAGACTTGACGCGTCTGGCCAGGAAGAGAGGGTGGGAAGTGCATCCGAGGGGCCACCTGCCTGGAACAGGAGAGGGACAAGGTCCCGGGGAAGGTCGGGATGGTCGCTGGGGACCCGAGGGAATAACAAGCCGTAATTTGTGGCCCAGCCCGACTTGCTCCTTTAGCCTCCAACCCACGTGCCCGCACGTAGCCCAGCCCCCTGTCCAAGGAGGCCGGGGAAGCCATGCGGTCCCGCGGGGACAGCAGCCGCGTTAACCGCTCCGGCGTCTCGCAGGTGAGGTCCTGTCCAGCCCCCTGGCTCCTCTGGGCCCTTCGCTGCCGCGTCCGTGCATCGGGAGAGCCGTGCCCGCCTCGCAGAACTCTGTGCGGATTAGACGACCCGGGCCGGGCCGGGCAAGCAGGGCGGGGACTCCCTCAGAATCTGCTGAGGACTGAATGGGCTCGTTTGCTCACTGTGTACACCCCCTCGTCAGCCCGCGGGAAGCTGAGGCCCAGAGGAAGGGGGTTTATCTGGCCGTTTCTCCCAGGAAGACAAGAATCTCCCTTTTTCCGTCCTCTGCAGTTGTGCGGTTGAAACCTTCCGATTTGGGAAACTGGGTCAGGCCGCATCGCTGTGCATTAATTCTAAGGTGTGATTCCAGCAAACCTGTGGGAGCTGAGGGAACGTCCGGCACCTGCAGCAACAGCCGTGCCTCAGTGACAGCGCCATGGCCTCCCGTCATCTTCCGGCTGCGTGGATCCGGCGGCCCGCGGAGGACTGCCCAGGCCCATGACTGCGTGTGTAGCCTGCCTCCATGGAAGCTCACTGTCATCCCAGTTTGTGGATGAGGAAACTGAGGCTCCAGGAGCTGCTGCACGTGCTTGTCGACCTTGTCACAGATTTCAAGGACGAAGCTGTGGGTTGTCCTGCCTGCCTGTCTCCCAGAGGCCCTCGGGTGAGGTTTCGGGCTCCCATTTGCAGACTGCACCCCATCCCCCTTCCAGAGGAAGGAGAGGGAGCGCGGCAGCCCGGATCCCTCAGGCTCATGAGGCCGTGGGAGCTGTGTCCGTCCGACTGCCGCGTCCGGGGCCTGGCCGCACAGCCGGGGGTGTACCTTACTGTGCAGGTCTAGCCAGGGGGTGTGACCGGGTCCAGTCCGGGGGGTGGTGGTGTTTACGGAGAGACAGGATGACACACAGGTGAGGAAGAGCCTGCTACTTACTGATCACCCACTACGTGCCACGTCCACACATTACCCACGATGCCCACAGCATTTAGTGAGATATCACTGTTCTTCCCCTTACGCGCTGGTGGGGAGACGCAGCTCAGAGTCGGCGGCTGTCGGGGACCCGCAGGCGGCTGCCCTGCTCTGTGCACCGTGATCCCAGGCCCTGCCCGCAAGGCGCCCGCGACAGGCTGAGCTCTGACATCCTCTCTGCTTTCTCGCAGAGATGAGTCACGGCCTTTGGGTAGGACCGCGCTGGGAAGCGCAGACCCCGAGCTCCCACAGAGCCCTGTGGACCTGCGTCCTGCGCACGTGGGGGGGGGCATCGGGGAGAGCCAGCCCGGGGTCTGCCGCGTGGACCTGCGTCCTGCGCACGTG